ATGAACTGTCTCAATATAATTTATTCTTTTTTATTTTTCTAACACTATTTTCCATTAATGCTGAAGCAAAAATTTTACTTTATAAGATCAAATTTGTTTGTACTATGTTTTCTCAAAGTAAATTTATGCAATAAATGTTAGATTGTCTAATAAACTTATACTAAAAAAAATTCATTGATCTTATTTTCAAGACAAGGGTTTGGGGCATAGATTTATTTTGATGAATTTACAATTTTCAAATGACATAATATATGTCAATAGTATGTGATCGGTTAGTAGAGTATTTGACTCATAATTTTAGTAACTAGTGTTAAAATTTTTCATAATATGGACTACTATTAATTGTTGATTTTATAATTTAATAAAACCAACTGATAAATTTAATCTTAATATGAGACATGTATGAGAGTGCAAAAAATTTAATAATGATCACTTATGTGTATGCTTTGCATATTTTATTGGGCTAGTGTAGTTTGGTGGTTGTGTAGGTCTTTGGCACAATAAGTCTTTAATGGAATGCTTATAGGGTTTGTGGCAATTGTTGAGAGTTGGATTTCTTATTTTAATTGTCAAAAATATTAATAAAAATTGGATTCAATTTCTTTAAGAAAATGTATTAAAAATAGTTAATATATTAAGGAATAAGAAAGCTTAGTCTATAATTGTGATTGCAACAAATCCTCTTTTGAAATATTAACATTTGTAGCCCACAATGTCACATTCAAAGTCACAGCACTAGAAAAAAAATTATATTGTCATTATTTTAAATATGTATTAAATAGAATATAAAGTTATAACACACGTATTAACTTTTGATTTTACAGCAAGATGCTATGTCTATTAACTTCATCTTATTTGTCTTTGCCATAAGTTTTAACAACATATCTAACACCTATAAGGATCCCTATAATATCTATAATTAAAGAATGGTATAACCAGCATCAATAAATTATTAATATCTGAAATACAAAGTTAAATACAATGATAGTTAATTATGATTGTTAATCAAAAAAGAATAACAATTACCTGTTAAAAACAAATTGGTATCAACACGTTGTAAGAGTGATTCAAACGATTGGAATTCAAAGTAATGCAGAGGATAACATCTGAGAGGATAAAAATTTCAACAATTTTTGTTATACGCACAAAGTAAATGACAAAAAGAGCTGAAATAGAGTTGAAAAATGATTTCCTTTGCTCATCAAAAAAGTCAAATATTTCATACGAAGAATTTTTCTTTAACTTTGGTCTAAAGTAATGCGTATCACTTTTCGTTATCGAAACTTATATGGCATCTTGCGACATATGAAATATAAACATCATAGTGATTGTATCGTGTCATTTTCAATAAATCATAAAAATTTATTAATATTTAAACTACATTTTTACCTTTTTAACAACAACTAACAAATTAAGACTTATAAATTTTCTTTCAAAATTGAGAAGCATTGAATCTCACGTTCTAACAACATTTATTCTGATTTTTTGAAAATGTTCATAATGTTTAAGTTGATCTGAAGCTTGATAATCACTCATTGCCTACACATATAACAAGTTATAAAAAAGGAATAAAATCAAAAACAAAACTTAGTAATCACACACCTCAACAAATTGAATCAATAAGAAAAATCTTTTAATAAAAAGACATATATATAGTTAATAAAAAACTATAACTTCAAAGTGAAAAATATCAATGATATTCAATATAGAAAGCAAAGAAAAAGGCAATTTATTCATAATAACCATGAAAAGATATTTAATTATAAAGAAATAATTAAAGAGCATATAATAAACAACCTTGTGTCAACTCATTAAAAAATTCTTGATACACAATATTTTTTGTGTAACAATTTACTTTTCCATCTAAGTTTTCTATTAGTATTTTCAAACTTCCTTTATGAATGATTATAGATATTGTAATATATAATTGTTCATGGTTAAAATCAAGTTTAGGCAAATAGATTCTAACAAATTCAAGAGTTTGATCTTAACTCTTATTGATGGTTAGACCATATGATAATCGAACAAGAAATTATTTTCTTTTAAAAATAAATGACCATTTATGATATTTAACTTTAATACAAATCCTAGGAATGAATACTTTATTTCCTATATGATTACTACTAATAATTTCAGTTTCAATAACATTTGCAGTTAGTTGTGTGATAATAAGTCTAGCACCATTGCATAAACTTGATATTTGATTGAGATTTCTAAATAGCATTATGACTCACCTTAATTTTAATTAAAGTTCATGATTAGGCACTTTAGCAAAAGTTAATGAATTTAAGAATTCTAAAGGATATAAAGTATCAACATCACTAATATCACTATCAGCATTCACAATTCAATCATAATTGTAATATATTTTAGTATCAGTAAAAATAAAAAAAAAGAACATTTGCATTGATTAAATCAACAGTTTCATTGAATGAAGTTACTATAGCTCTTTTTCTAAGGTATGAAGAATCAACAAACCTATGTTCTAAATCAGTGTAAACAAATTTAATCAATGATAGCATGAGAGACGTATCACATTTCAATAATAATTATGTTGGTATTTTGATCCATGTATGCTCATTGTTGACATCATCAAAAAAAGATTCAATCAATATTAAGCTTACTGTAGTTTTCTTTATTCTTTTGCTGCTCACAAAAAAGGACAAAAAAACATGACTAAGCTTTTTAAAGGTTATGATGGACCTCGGTTCTAAACTATAATACCAAAATCGAGTTGCCCTTTTGAGTGTGGTAGCTAGTTCTTTGCACATAAGAGTTTTGTTCATCCTTTATATCATCATGTTAGTTCGATAAAACTCTAGATGATCAAAAGGGTTAGAAGTACCATCATAAGTTTTAAAAGGTCCATATTTTGAATTCTTTTAGGGGCATTATTTTGTAATCTCCTCAATAAATGATGAGGTCTCTAAGAACTCAAGTTCATCCTTGAATGCTACGACCTTTCCTTTTAACTCATTCTCTATGCTTTGCATCTTAGCTTTCAGATCTCTATTTGGTTAAGGTTTTAAGTTAATTTGTTTGGATTTTAAAGTGGTGACTTATGTTAAGGTGTGAGTTTAGTAATGGCTAGGTAGGGTGGTGGGTTTTTTTTTTTTTTTTCATGTGAGGCTGACGATGCTTTAAAATCCTCGTAGCTCGGCTGCCTTTCAACTGGCAGTCTTTCAATGGCAGCTAAGTCGATTACCTTAGAGGTCTATGGAGGTGTAAAGGCTTTGAATCATCTCTTTGAAGGATTGTAATTGTTGCGTTAAGGCTTGGAACTGCTTCATTATAGGAATTGCTTATGTAGGTGCAAGGTTGGTTGACATGTCAATCATTGGTATATGTTTTGATTCTAACTTGAGTAGTTGGTTCTTTTTCCTTATGAACTCTATTTTCTAACTAGCATGATGTTTAGCTTAGCTAGAGGATGAAAGCCCTTACCTGGTGCGCCAAATGATGGTGCCAAGCTTGAAGCTGAGGGATGAAACCTTAAAAATACAAAAAAAAAAAGAAAAATAGTGATTAAAGGCAAAGGTTTAGAGTTTTTTCAGCATTTAAGCTCCGACATTCAATTCAAAGGTCGATCAAAGAAAGAAATACGAAAGAGAAAAAAGAGATTAAGAGAGTGTAAAATGTCTAAATAATACTTGAATGGTTTTATTTATAGTTGAGGGTGAGAGGTTTTAGGGTAGCTTGAGCTGCTCATGATCAGCCCTGTGGTTAGGATGACCTGGTAGGCCGAACTAACTTGGATGTTGGTTATCTACTTAGGGAGTGACAAGTCAGTATAAAAAAAGGGATCCTTTAAGTAGGATAATAAGGTGACCGAGTTGACGTGATAATGTAGATGTTAAGTTGGTCTGATATTCAAATTAGCTTAAAAGTAATAAATACCCTTGGTTATCTATCGGTTGCCTCTAATGAAAAAAGGATGATTTTATCTTTTGAACCTAAAAATGCTCCTAACAATAAACATCTTCTTATAATTGTTAGTGATGTTGTTTCAAAGTAATAACGATGAATCTAAGCAAGAATAAATAGAAGTTGAGAAAAAATGAGTGTAAGAGAAAATGTAAAATGGTATAGAGAATGAAAAAAAATAATTAAAATTTTCATTTAATAATTTTTATGAGTTAGTTTTTCACAGCTATTACATGTTATTTGTCACGTCTTTTTATTCACATGGTTAATAGGGCAAGTAGTTTACTTTTGTTAAAAAAAATTTATTTGAACAAATTTGAAAATATTTAATCTTGATTTGAGTAAAATTAAAGATTATATTTTTAATTAAGAATTGGTCCCAACATTAAATCTCAAATTTTGAACATTTTAATTCTAAAAAATATGTAAATATAAAAAAATTTAATTATAAAAATATTTAAATATTAAAAATTTTATTTCAATAATAAAACAATAATTAAATGATGAGTTAGAGGACTCAGAACGTAATTCTTAAGTGGTGTGCTATATATAGTGGAAAACTGAAAAGATAGTTATAACATAATGAAAAAGTGAAAAAAAAAATTAAGTGCACCTAATAGGAAGTAAAAGTGAGAGAAAAGAAAATATATACGATTAACTTTTTTTAAATTTATTCATAAATATAAATTATTTTAAATTAAAAAGATAAAATGAGAGAAAATAAGGAAGGTATGAGTAATTTACAAGATTATCATGCATATTTAAAATTTTTATTTTAATTTAAAAAAATTATAGTAGTAAAACATATAATTCATTTTTTCTTTTTATTTTTCAATTCTATCAAATAATGAATGTAACGAAAATTATATTTTTCTAAATTAGTTTATTTCTTCAGCAAAATACATCAATAAAAAATAATTTTTATCTTTTTAATTTTATAGCCTCTACCAAGCAAAGCCAAAAAGACACCTCATAAAAACCTGACCCGACCCAACAATAGTCACCTAGCAGTGATTGGGGGTGAAGCTACCTCAATTAATGTGTTTGCTGGAAAAGAAAGAAATATAAAGATGATTAGATATGCAACAAATACTCCCACTAATTGTAATACTACCAGTAGTCATATTATAGTAAATATTATATTACAAAAACAAAATACACATGCCACCGGGCAGACAGAGCAATAAGCAGAGAGGGACAGGGTGAGCATCTTCCCACACACCACACGACAGTCGGTACCCGCGCCTGCGGGAGAATTGGGAAGTGCCAAGCAAAGCAAGCACAGCATCCCTCCCTCTACTCACCTCCACTCACTCAAACATTTCAACCGCCCTTTCTTTTTTTAATCTTTTCACACCAAAGTTGACAATTTAAGGGGGAAAAAAAAAACACCAAACTTCTCCTGTTTCCCCAAAACCCTAATACTGATTCTGCCATCGATTCCTCCTCTCTAAATTTCCTCACTTTATTGTACTTTCAAAATCATCCTCAGTCGATCGTGCTTTGCTGCCGAAAAAGGTTTCTTTCTCATACCTCAAGCAAGTTATTTCAAAATTTTCTTTTCTTTTCTTTCTCTTCAGAACAAAAGTCTCTGTTTGGTTACTTGGATTTCTGAGTATCGCCTTTTGAATTTTCAAGTTAAACGAGAATCGGAGCCCTAAATTTTTTGAAGCTCTGCTACTGCGGTTAGATTTTCAAGGTAATTAGTTTCTTTCTCTTGTTCTTCTGAAAATTGCGAATTTGATGATCCTGGATTTTACTCTCTTCGAGCTACTCAAAAAATATATGATTTCAGTTTAGTTTTTCTTAACGTTAATTTAATTTATTTATAGGATAGTTAAATAAAAGAAGTCACATAGATGAAGGCCATCCAAAAAAGACAGTATAACTCTTCTTCTTTAGCTTCTTTAAATGATATAAGTGATGTAGGTACCGCGATGAATGCGGTTAATTATGTCTCACTAAGTAGTTGGTTAGCTAGTCATGGCTCATTTATGTTAATTGCTATGATTTTGAACCACTTCTTAATTGCTTTCCATCACTCCTGTTAATTCAATGCTTAAAGTGGGAATCAATTTGATTACACCCAGTTCATATTTGTGAAACTATTCTGTTTTCCTTTAGTTTCAAATGGTATTATTATTATTATTATTCAATTCCAAATTGAACATAGAATTTGCCAAAGACTAGAGCACACTGAGCACATAACTTTTGAAGCTTTCATTCATTGTATTTTGAACCATCATCCATAATTATATTGAATTAAGTTTGCATCAATGGTGTTAGTAAGTTTCAATTAATAGTTTTGATGCTATTTTCTATATCTTGGTTTTGGAACAAAGTGTTTACATTTAGAAACTTTTAATACATCAAATTTAAGAGCATAGTTGATACTGAATAATAACTCCATCTTAAGTCATACTTAGATTGAACTCTTGTTTTTGTTTTGTATGAAATTGATGTTAATTGACAAAATAGTTAGAGTCTTCATGGAGGGCACAGAGTAGACTGGTTTATGCTCCATTGTTCATTCAAAATAAAATGTTGAAACTTCCACAACACTTAGCATTCCACCTTTATTTTCTTTGTAAAAGAGAATCATTTACAAATGCATAAAATATACTATATGAAACGAATACTATTAGATCCACATTGTTCATAAAAATTAAAATTGTTATCTGCGATAATATTTAGACTGTAATTAGATTATTAGTTCTTAGTCCTTGCATGAGGAATCTTTAATTAACTTTATTAAAATAGGCGAAGATGCCAATGATGTCAAATGAAATAAAAGCAAGCAAAGTGCAAGAAATTTATTAATGTTTCAAGTTTGAAATCCAACAAAACTTGATTGAACTGTGTAACACTCAAATCTGAAAGAAATGCCCGATGTGATTTCTAAGAATATATCTTGCATGAAATGCAGATAATTAAAAAATGGGTTTGCTAATGGTTTTAAGGAACCTGTTTAAGGATCTTTAAATGCTACCACCTGCCACCATTTTTATTTGTAAAAGAAAAATTACAACCAGACTAATAATGGTCTTTAAAAGCTTTATAGCCTTTTCCTCCATTTTACAATACGGCTTTCAATATTTTTCTCCGTAAAAAGCTAAGCTACAATGTAAAAAATGTAATAAAAAGCCATATAATAATTATTTTATCATGTAATGATATCCTTATAAAAAATGAAAATTATCTTTCTTGGAAACAAATAAAAATTGTATTAAACGTGTACAAAAAATTCCAAAGATAAAATATAAAATATAGAGAGAGAGCTACCTTTTTAAGCAATTTGATACACTTTAAAAATTATATTTAGTTGGTATGTAATGCCAATAATATTTGGACAAGAAGCAGGTAAGATTGGTGGAATGCACACAAAGGTCTGAATAGTTTGCACTGTACTACAGAGGCTATTTCAGTACCTTTCACTTTGTTCCCATTGGCTCTTTAGAGAGTGTTTTTGGGAGGGAAGGGACACAATGCTTGAAAGAATATTTCAGTCTTTTTGAAATTTAACTTTTTTGGATAGAAAGTCAAAGAGACAAACAAACAATAGACAAAGATATTGAAGGGCATTTTAGATTGAGGAAAGAGTTTAAAAGCTTTTAAAAACCAATATTAGTCTGCTTGTAATTTTTCTTTTGCTGATAAAAATGATGTATGGTGGTAGTATTTAAAGTGTGCCCTAAGAAAACCCTTAAAAAATAGGGCACCCGCTAGCAAGACCTCTAAAATGTTTTTTGCTTCATGTGTTTGCTCTAAATTCAAGGAGGATGTTGATACTTATGCTATAAAGGTAAAAGAAATAGTATTTACTAAATTTAAACAGGCAATTATCTCAACAACCAAGTTTTTTTTTATGCAATGTCTTGAAGCAATGTTTGAAAAAACAAAATTGTGAATTTATTTAATATGTAGGTGGTAGCTGCAAATCAAAGGCACCAAAAGAGTGAAAGACCATTCATATTAAGATAAATTGAACGCATCATTTCAAATGAAAATAGTAGTCCTAATTTGTAATTAAATTTCCCATATGGTAAGATTACCATTAAAATTTACATTATAAAGTCTTAACACCAATTTATAATTAGAACACCAAACAAATAGATATTTATTAAAAATAATTGTAAACCATTAAAAAAAAAAAAGAGTATCAATAGCATTGAAAGATAATAGGTCTCAAGTCACAACCCCAAATTGTCAATTTCAATCCTTATGCTCCATTTGATTGGTGCTTTTGCTATTCATTCTTTGCTTTTTGAAAAATTGCTATAAAGCAAAAGTGAAATGTAAACAAAAATGTCATAATTAATTACAATATAACACCAATTATAACATAATTAGTCTATGTAAAAGTAGAATCATGTATTTTGTTATCTAAAAGAATTACATATTTTGTGTATGACTTTCCAAAATTTTTTGCTTTTGTATTTCATTGTGTCTCTTCTACAAGCAAAAAGTAAATAGCAAAAGTTCTAACAAAATGAAGCCATGGTATCACAAAAATGTGTACAAACAAATCTATCAGAAAATAAAAAAGTAAAAAAAATACACAATTGCGTTAAAAATTTGTGCCAACTTTTTAATAACACAATGAAAATCCAGCAGGATCTAGGGTCAAAATCTGTTGGAAAAGCATAGGTTCTCCTATTTCCAATTGCTTTGATATCTTGTTTTATGATCTAGTCTTGAATTTTTATAATAATATGCATGTTAAAGGAGATAAAATCAGAGTTTTGGAGAATTGAGTTCAATAACCCAAGAAAACCAGCCAAATGAAATGTGTAATAATGAAAATTTATATTCTTAAGCAAAAGGAGGAAAGGAAGAAAAAATCAAACTTGGTCACTAGGGTTGCAGCACCATTTTTGTATGAAAATTTATATTAGCGCACTCCTTAATAAATTTCTGCTTAATTAAGCCTGCTGCACCATTTTTCTTTTAATTAAGCAAAAGATTAAACTAAAAATAAATACTCTCTATGTTAAATTTTCCTTTTCTTTTTATCTAGTTAACATCTAAAATCTTAACCCCATTTTCAGGTTGAAATAAAGTGCTTAGCAAAGAAGGTATTCTGCAGTGTGCACTATCCATTAGCTCTCCTTACATAATCACTTGATGATCATTGGAAAATGTGTTCAGCTAGGTTGGATGATGAGCTGGCAATGAGATGCTTGTGAGACACGTGGTTACTTTCCAAATGCTTTGATCTCTGTCTCTCTTTTTGTCAGGTTAACTCTCTTTTAACCTAACCTTTCTAAATCCTAATGGAAAATTAATGATGTAAATATTGGTAAAAGCTATGATTAATAAGGCAGTTTTGATGCTTGGAATGGGTTTTAATTTTATTTTGATTTCATCTGGGACTTAGGACATTGAGATGGGTTCTTGCTGCTCATCCATAGCCAAAGGAAAAAGTGGCAGCAAAAGGGATGACCAAGTGATAGATGCATCCACGGCTATAACAACAACATGCGCTTCAGCCAAGAAGCAGAAGCAAAGGCATGGGTCAGGGAGGTGGAGGAAGATATCAAGTGGGTTAGTGCCCATGGATGAGGCAGAGCTCCATCGAATATCAGGGAGGATGTTTCTGAATGGTGCCAGCAATGTTGCATGCTTGTATACCCAACAGGGGAAGAAAGGGACCAATCAGGATGCCATGCTTGTTTGGGAGGTTAGTCTTAGTGCCTATAATTTTTTCTATGTGGTTCTTTCTTTGGTGGTAGATCCAGGATTTTTTTGGGAGGTGTCCACTTATAATATATAAAAAACTATCTATTGATTTACTAATTTTGTCGACAGAAAGGGTAGCCAGGGAAAAACTTTAGGGGTGTCTAAAGGGAAATTTTCTTTCTAATTTTCTTGTTTTCCAATCTTTGGAGGCATCCATGGACACTCTACTTTTGAATGTGGTTCTGCCCCTGGTTTTCTTGTTGTGTCATTTTCTTTAACATAACTTCTCTATCATTGTCACTTTAATTGAGTTTGTTATGTATTTATTTTCTTTTTTTTTAGATTAAAACATATTTTTATTTCTTCTTTTTCCTCTATGGCATCAATACGTGAAGACTTGGTTTTGTTTCTATAATAGAATTTCAGTTCGAGAAGTGACACAATATTCTGTGGTGTATTTGATGGTCATGGTCCTTATGGCCACATGGTTGCCAAGCAAGTCCGAGATTCTCTTCCTATTATTTTGTGTACCAAATGGAAAGGTAGTCTTGCTGGTGATCAGAACAGTCTCAATAAGGGCGAAAATACTCCTGAAAGCACTATCTCTGAGGATACTGGATCTTTGAGCATGGATGATGAATGCTGTGAGTCATTAGAGATTGAAGAAAATGAACAACGCCCAGAGATGTATTTACCTCTTAAACAGTCTATGTTAAAAGCTTTCAAGTTAACGGATAAGGAATTAAAGTTGCATTCAACAATTGATTGTTTCTGCAGTGGGACAACTGCTGTTACTTTGGTTAAGCAGGTAATAGTCATGACATGAACTAAAATTCAAAATTAGTTATCTCTATGGGTCTGTTAATCAAGCTTTCGGATGTATTATCCGGCTTCAACTTTTACATTTTGGATGGTTAATGGATTTAGATAATTTTCTAAACAAAGACAGGTAAGTATTTTCAAAATTTGCTGCAAATGCTCATGTATCATCAATGGAGATATATTAATGCGTGTATGGAAATTTAGGATTTGAAGTATGTTAAATTGCGCATGCTAATGTGTGCATCTCTGCATTGTACATGTCGTAGAGTTTTCCCAATAAATTTTCGTTTGAGATATCTTGAAAGCTTTTTTCCACATTGTCTAACCATTTTATGACAAATATGGCTTTCCAGGGTCAGGATCTTGTAATTGGAAATGTTGGTGACTCAAGAGCAGTGCTGGCAGTGAGAGACAAAGATAATTCTCTGATTGCTATACAATTGACTGTTGACTTGAAGCCTGATTTGCCAAGTCTCTCTCTCTCTCTCACACACACACACATACAGACTTTCCCTCTTTTTCAGTCAAAATTGCATGATAACTTGTACTAACCTATTTGAATAACTATATAGAACTAAAAACTCTTACAATATTTATGTTTAGAGGAAGCTGCTAGAATTCAGCAATGCAAGGGAAGGGTCTTTGCCTTACAAGATGAGCCTGAGGTTGCACGTGTATGGTTGCCCAATAGTGACTCACCTGGTTTGGCAATGGCTAGAGCTTTTGGGGACTTTTGTCTGAAGGATTTTGGTTTGACTTCCGTACCAGATGTTTTCTACCGCCGTCTTACTGAAAGAGATGAATTTGTTATTCTTGCCACTGATGGGGTATCTTCATCTTCACAGCACATCATACTAGTTTGCTTGAAAAAATTGTGTAGGACTCTGACACATGGATGCTGGGGTAACCATTTTTTGTTCATTATAGCCTGTAAGGAAGTCCATTTATAAATGCTCTCCCTTCTGCCTTGATTTTCACATATTGTCTTTATGCTGCCACCTTGAGACAATGTGCTTAGATGAAGCAATTGGCAAGTTTTATTCTTTTTGTGTTTGATAGGGGGAAAAATACCTCCCATTGTAAGGACATATATGTTTTTTCTTTAATCATTTTAACCTGAAATTCATATAAATTCTCTGAGAGCTGGTTTATAATTTTGGTGCAGGTTTGGGATGTCCTTTCAAATAAGGAAGCCATCGATATTGTAGCATCAGCGCCTAGTCGCACAACAGCTGCCAGAGCACTTGTAGATTGTGCTACTCGTGCATGGAGGCTTAAGTACCCTACTTCTAAGAATGACGATTGTGCTGTTGTATGCCTCTTTCTGGAATGTTTGCCTGCAAGTAATGGAGCTATGGAAGAGAATGACGTAACAAGGATTTCTAAGGAATCTGGAGAAAGGATGGTGGCTACTGATGATAACAAGGGAGTTTCTCATGCTTTAAGTCTTGACCAATCTGGCACATTTCAAGGTTCTACTGAGATTGTTCCTGTAACTGAACCGACAGAGGAAAAGTTGTCTTCGAAGTTCCCAGGCCAGTCTAAGAGGAGTCTTGCTGAGTGCATCTCAGTTGCTGATGATGAAGAGTGGTCAGCCTTAGATGGAATTACTAGGGTTAATAGTTTATTAAGCCTTCCCCGGTTTCTATCTGGTGATAAAGGATCAACTAGTCGGAGAAAGTGGTTTTGAAAACTTACTGCGCAATCATTTGGTAAGGCAAACATTCTCACGGTGTGGATTTAGTAGCGAGAGGAATCTATGGTTTTGGAGTCCACGGATGTAGATGATGACTCTCATTACCTCTTATGTGGGGTAGGAATTCTACTTTGAGATCTCACTGGCACGGAGTTTTAATCATAAACAATATTTGTTGTTTGGTGAATTTAAATCTTATTGCTGTTGTATGAAGTGTTTCTTTCCCCTGTACTTCGTGAAGTTCAAATCATTTAACACCCTTTTTGTTGCTGTGTTGTTAATCTGTTGAGGGATTTTTACCTGGCCAATAGACACATATTGTTCAGCAACGGTAGATTGATTGAAAAGGTGAAAACTGTAGTTTTACTTGGATGTATTCACGATGGACAAAATAGATTCGGGCTCAGGTTTATCTTTAATATTAATAATTTATATGTTTGTTCAAGTTTGATTTTGCTCGATAATTTAGATCTCATATTTTTAGCAGTTCAGCCCTAATTGTAAAAATGATTTTTAGACCTGTCTATTAAGATTTAATTTATATAATAAATATATTCAAAAAATTTTTAAATATTAAAATATTAAACTAAAAATTAGAAAAATGTTTTTGTAATATTTAAAAATTTTATATAAATTTATCTCTAAGATTATAACTAAAAATCAAAACTTGACTAAAATCATTATAAATATATAGCTAAAAGGTGTTAGAATAAGAAACTGAAAATAAAAATAATAAGAAATTATAAGATTATTAAATCAGAAAATGAAGCATAATCTATATCTAAAAACAAATTATAACTAACAATATTGAGAAAAAATTTATTCACATAATTCGGATTTAAAGTAAAATGGATGCTTCTAAGTTTTAACTTGTTAGAGTGATGACTGACGAGAGAAACTAAAGACAAAGAAAAGGACAAAGAATACAACGTGAAAAGTGGATATTGGATACAAATGGCAGAAGAGCATGAGATGTCTACAAACCAGGTGCCTAATGGTGAGCTTGAACAGGAATGGTGGGACAAGTTGTGGAGGACAAATAGCCCAAACAAAATCAAAACGTTTGCTTGGAGACTATGCCACGGATAACTACGGTTTATGTAAAACTTAAGGAGAGGAGGATACTCAAATCAGGTTTGTGTCCACGATGCAAAGAGGTTGATGAAAAAATCTTGCACGCAATTCTGGCATGTCCGACTGCCGCCGCAACATAGAATGAAGCTCGTCCCCTGGGAAACTTAGATATGCAACAATGGCAGAATGAAAAGGATTGGATGTTTTCTATGGTATTGAAGGATAACGCAACAATATATGAATAAGATCATGTATCAAAATAATGCGGAAACTTACACAATGAAAGCATTATTGTGGAAGTGTTACGGAAGTAGTGTTGACTTGATTCCCTAGTCAAGGACAAGATCAGACATTAGAAAATTGTTCACTATCCATAATATAAACTCTTAAATACCGAAGCATGAGATTTCTAAAAAAGTTTCCCTTTTTGTACCGATCTCTCTCTTTTCTTTTGTTGTTTTCTATGTAATTTATCACATAATCCTACGTAAATGACACTTATCACAGTTTGGATGAATGCCATACCTTAATTTTAGAGAAGAAGAGAACCACAGCACGAACGTTTTCCACCATCTAACACAAAATGGCCGAATGCCACATTTTTGAAAGAGAGGAAGAGGCAAGCGGTTTTACTTGGTTTGTAATTCAAACCAAAATCCCATTAACTGCCCGTGGCAGTTTTCTTTTAGTAACATGTGGGATTATGCCCACCCATAGTGGGCGGCTATTCCAACATTTAATCTTTCCATGTTAGCAAAACAAAGCTAGAGGATTATGGAGAATCCTGATATCCTTCTTAGATCTTAAAAGGCACGTATTTTCCATATTATACCTTCTTGGAAACTGAAAAAGGAACACGTGCACCTTGGATTTGGAGCAGTTTGCAGGCTCAAAAGGAGTTTCCTAAAGAAAATTGAAGTTGGTAGGTGTTAGATGGGAGAAAGGTAAACATTTGGACAGATAGATGGATTCCAAGACGTGGGAAAGAAACTCTACAGCAATATGAATATAGGAGGATGGGAAGACCACAAAAAGTTGCAGAAATTATGGGTATGAACTCAGGCTTGTGGAAATTAAGAGATGGAGGATCTTTTGACACCACACCTGAAGCAATCTATTCTTGCAATCCCTATTTGTCAGAAAGGGGGTGAGGATTGGTTGATGTGGAGTGCTAGAGAGAATGGGATATACACAGTCAATTCTGGTTAGCATATAGCTAAAGATAGTGATCAAGATAATCCAATCAGTGGGGCATCTTCTTTCCTGTGTCTGATAGAAAGGTTTGGAAGATTATTTAGAACATGCAAACATTACCAAAGATCAGAAGCTTTATATGGAAAGTATGTTTAAATGCAGTGGCCTCTTTTGATAATTAAAAAAAAAGGAAGATTATCCCGACCTCTGAATGTCATTTTTTTGGTGCGAAAACAGGGACTATAGAACATATATTGCTGTAAGGACTAGACTGGTATATATGCTTTGGATGCTACATGGCTCTAAGAATTAATGTTGGATCAATTAGCACTTTTGAGTTTTGATCAATGGTTGTTAGCTGTATAGAAGTGCATTGAGCAGAAAAATGACAAAGCTCTAGATTTTATCTCATATGTTGGACTCCTTGGAAGGTTAGATATGAGGCAATATATGAGCACACCAAACCTGATCCAAGAGTTACTATCACTAGAGTATACAATGCTTTCTGGGAATTCTAGAATTTATCAAGAAAAAACCCAATGGTTGATAATGTCAGTCCATGGCTAAGTGAGGTAGGGAATGTTAATCTGCAGTCTCCACCAAGTGGATGGATTAAAATAAATGTCGATGGGCTTTTACTAGAGATAGCTTGGAGGCGGGTTTTGAAATAATAGCGAGGGATAGTGATGGCCGACCACTTGCAGGACTTAATAGTGAGTGTGCTGTTGATTATGCACTGATTATACTATTCTGTTCAATGAGGTTATGAGCAGGAAGAAGAGTAGACAGATGGAAGTTGGTGCCTTTGTTGAAGGATTCGAGGAAAAGTTAGTGGCAAGCAAATCAAGGAGGTCAGAATTAACCTGGTATTTCGAACTGCTACTAAATGGAGGATGTGTCTTGAAAATTGGATTCAACAAATTCCATCGTCCTTGGTGAACATATTCGATAGGGATGGTCTTCCAACTCCGCCGGGTCTAAAGATGAGACCCAGATTCATCGAGTTTTGTTGCTCAATCTCTATTTGTCTTTAGATGTATGTTAATATTGTAATTGTGAACTTTTCATTGTGCATTCTCTTTTGATGATATAATACATTATTTTCATTGGGCAAAACAATTAACTTGACAAGACCGTAATCTAAAGTTGATCAATTTGGAATACGGAAAACAACATTACTTAAAATCATTGCTAAATTCAGAAAGGAAATTTAGAAGAAAAAAAAAGGTGCTCTTGATCTTGTAAATAATTAGATTTCTTTTTCCATTAAATCCACTTTCTGTTTTTGGATTTTTTTACATTTCTCAAGAGTTAAACATATAATTTTTTGTGAAGTTTTCACTTTTAATCCTAAATGTTTGAGATTATCAAATTTTAAATCTTAATCACTGAACGCTCTACCATCAGACCGCATCATTGTTTGGACTAAACGTTTGACATTTGCTACCTCAGTTCTGAACATTATCATCATATTGCCTCCCTGATTTATTTGAGAAAATACAGGAATTTCAGTATGGGTAAGGATGCAAGAAGGGTCTAATTTATTCATTATTTAATAATGCAGCACTATCATTCACACTGGTTTCCTGAATGTTTGAACCAGGAACTTCATCAAACTTACAACTACTCTAAAACAAATGATAAGCAATTATGCTTCATCCATGGGATGATTCACCCAATAGACACCTGACATCAAATATATTTCAATAATTTGTATGTACTAGCAAAGATGCTGTTGCTAAAAAGCATTATTTTGTGATTGCAATTTTAATCATAGGCAGCATGCCTTCCTGTGGTAGTAGTAAACTACATAACAGCAATCTTCATTCCAACAAAATTTTTGCTAGAGGAAATGTGGGAGCTATATCCACAGGCACCTGAAAGATATGGAAGCAAAAGTATATAAGTAGAATACTTGAAATAGGCCCTTTCACCCAATATTTCTATTATAATCATTCATTGCAAAACATAGATTGGCAAGTTCCTTTTATTCCTACCAGTGAAACAAATCATAAAATCAACATCATCAACCTTCAAAATTTTACGACGATGAGATAAATATAGGTTCTTTCCAATTGCACATATGAACCAATAGAGAATTTGGCAACTATGTCAAATTTTGAGGTGAAGCATTATAAAGCATAAATGTTAGATAAGATCAAGTTAGAACACACTGGGCATCAATTTTACTGCAACATTTCCCCTTTTATAAACCAAATAAAGATTTTGGTTTTAATGTGACCATCTAAATTTAACAGCAAGGCCCCAGAGGGTATGATGTGGACAAGTAGATTCTCTAGTCATATACATCATGTTTATAAATCTAGTCGGTGAACAGGAGAAAGAAGTATTATAGAATAGGTAACTGTTTTTTTTATATTATTTATTTTAAGATAGGATGCTACCACATTGGTAGTATATCAAGTTTTCTCCTTAACTTCATCTTCTCTGTTTCCATTTTCCATCTCTTATACCAATTATGGTTAAGGCAGTAGCAAGGTAGGCTCAGTAACAATTTTTGCCGACATATGTGCATCTAGAGAACACATCTTTCCCATTTTCTCCCCCAAAATATACTAAAAGATAGATGCACTAAATTAGTTTTCATCCAGTTGCAAGTATTTATCAAGAAATGTAGACTAGAATGTTGAAGGACATACATGAATGCATTCCAACTTTTGCAACGCAACTTTCAATGGCTGTGTCATTATGCAGTATTTCTGAAAAAGCAAACTTGCACCTTCTTTGTCACCCTTTGCCTGTATGGTAAGTAAGGTCCTGCTCAAGCTTTCAACCGCTTCTTCAACCTTTTAAAAAGAAAAATTACATTTTTGGTAGAAGTGTCTTAGTTAAACAAAACTTATTTAAGAGAAAATTTGAACATGCCGTACCTTTTCAAAATTAACAGAAAATGTCTCATCCGGATGCAGAATAAAGGCTTCCTTTTCCAATAACCAGTTAAATTGTAATGCTTGTCCTTTTCTGAACATTGTTCAGTAAATCTAAAATGGTCAGTAACTGTTATAAAAACATTAATGGAGAATAGTTCACTTACCCATGAGCTTCCTCTAAGCCAAATCGTACTGAGCGAAAGCATCCAGCAAGGAATGAAACATACATGGACTTATCCAAACTTTCTGGAAGTAAATGCTGCCCCAAAATGTCAAAACAGACAAATAGAGAGACTACG